AAACCCTAAACCCCCAAACCCGAAACACCAAGATTGAGGGTCTCGCCTTGTAGGACTTTGAGTTTAGGGTTTCGGCCTTGGGGCTGAAAGGGCTTAGGTTCTTGAGGGTTTAGGATAGGGTTTAGGGTTTAGGGTTTAGGGTTGAGGGTTTAGGGTTTAGGGTTTATTTAGGGTTTAGGGTTTAGGGTTTAGGGTTTATTGAGGGTTTAGGGTTTAGGTTCTTGGGGTTTAGGGTTTAGGGTTTAGGGGTTTAGGGTTGAGGGTTTGGGATCTGGGCTTCCAGGGCCTTAGCCTTCAGGATCCCCAAAATGCAAGAGGTCCCAACCTCTTCAAGTTCCGTCATACACTTCAACACTGAGCCCAGACTCAGGACCATGTAAGTATATATATATATATATGCACATACATGCATATATACATACATACGTACGTACAGATATATATACACACAGACATATGTGCATACATACGCATATGTATATACACTACGCGTATATATTTGCACAGTATATACACAGTATATACACAGTATATACATATATACTTATATGCTACATATACATATACATATATGTATATACCTAATATATTTCTATATATGTTTAGATGTATGTATGCACACATGTAAACACACATACATCTACGTACATACATACATACATACATACATACATACATACATACATACATACGGCCCGAAGCCCGCAGCCGCACACCCTAAACGGAAAGAAAAGCCAGGAAAGCCCTTGGCAGAACTTTCCCTTCCCAGCTGCAAGCTGGGTCCGAACACGGCAAGCCGCTTGGATGAGGATTATCACGAGTTTTGCTAAGTTTTCGATCCTGAACGTTGGAAAATTTGCGTGTTCGGGAGTACTTGGAACTTTCTAACTTGCAATAACTAGAAATAAGGTTTTTGTTTTGCCTTCGCGTGGGTCAGCACTGTCCGACCACAGATTTGGGAAGCAGCTAAAGTTACACAAAGTGGCCGGCGGTGCAACGTTCCCTGCATGTCGGAGAGGAGGGCTTTGGCGTGGGGCTCGAGTTTAAAGCTTAAACCTTGAATCCCGAAAGATTAACACCCCGAGCCCTACCCTTGGTTTGGTGCTGCAGGGCTCATGCTGCCTGTGCCACAGCAACAGCAACAACAACAACAGCAATAGCAACAGCAGCAGTAACAGCAACAGCAACGGCAGCAACAGCAGCAGCAACAACAACCATCACAAACATTATGAACGACACGAACAGCGTGAGCAACGTGAACAACCTGAGCAACGACTCCAACAACCCCAACAACACCATCAACACCAACGACACCACCACCACCACCACCACCACCACCACCAACAACAACAACAACAACAACCACAACAACAGCAACAATAACAACAACACCAGCAACAGCAACAGCAATAACACCAGCACCAGCAGCAGCAACAGCAACAGCCACAGCTACAGCCACAGCCACAGCCACAGCCACTGCCACTGCCACTGCCACTGCCACTGCTACTGCTGCTACTGCTGCTACTGCTGCTACTGCTGCTGCTGCTGCTGCTGCTGCTATTGCTACTACTGCTACTACTGCTACTACTGCTACTACTGCTACCACTACCA